TATGTCTTGGCGTTAATCAATTTTAGGATTCAGGTCTTGTCTAGTATCTGTAACACACGTAGATTAATAAGAATTTTCTGTGTATCCACTTCGCAACCCAACGTGATAAGTGGTCAACATTTGTGTTTTTACAGCAATGTAGAAAAATTACTCAAGTCCACTCGCATTTCCCATTTTTTGGTGACGTCTCAGATACGAGGTAATGACTCCAGTCCCGTCCCGAAGGAGAATTACTGCCTAGTGATTCAGCTAATATTAATTTCAAATTACTACACATGTCGTTAAAAATCTCTCCTATAATGATACGGGGTATATTCCGATTTGCCCTTTTCTTCTAGTTATATTAGTTCAAGGCTAAAGATTCCAGTCTTTACTAAAGGCATTAATGCGAGTTGAACAAAATTTGAGCACTCCCTGCCATGCGATTTTTCCATCTGACTCTTCCCGAAATTGTTCGTCATTGTTTTTGTTAATATATTCATTCTCTGTAAAGTCATTGCAATCATGTCGAAGGTTTGTCAAAGTTATGATAAGGAATAGTGTTTCTGTTCTATGATCTCTCGAATTTACCGAAAGCAAATGACGGCCGAATAAGACTAAAGTGCATTTTTATCGAAATGGAGCTCATCAAAGAGTTAGATGTCATACTGAATTTCTCTCTGATCTCAGGGAACAGGCAAGGGAAACATTATTATAGAAAATTCAAAGATTAAGAAAATAACACTGATAGCAGTTAAAGAGATTAAAAAATGAACTTAAGAAGCAATGTTTTCTAATCCGAAATAGCTGGTATATATAGAAATTTTCTGATTGACGTAGTTTTTATCCGAGAGAATCAAACAATTCCTAAGACAGACGCATTCGTGAGACACTAATATTCTATTTCAGTCATTCGTCGCCAGACAAAGAACAAAGATAAAAACAGAATATGCAAAAAATATGAATGCAATCTTATTATTTTCTTTTTGCATTGATTGTTGAGTTTCAGAAGTTTTTAAAATTATAATTTTTCTTCTCCGGCAAAATTCGATATCACTTGATATGTGTTATCGTCTGATCTGACTCCTGTCGACATTGCTTGAACATCTTCGTCGCGTTTTCTCGGCTAAAACCACAAAGACGATGAAATTTGCTTTTTCCTCCATTTTTTTTTATTATTGTAATTTAGAATTTTTTGCTTTACTCCTTTTTCTTCTTTGTGTTCTTCCTTTTCCTACTTCGAATTTTTTAAAATCGAATTTACCCCAAGGAAGGAAATAAAGCCACTAAGCCACAAGAAGTTGCTAGATGCGGAAAAATTAGAAAAAATAAAGGAGTTAGAAAAATATAACTTTTTCTTTGGGCTATTCCTTCTTCTTCTTCCAGTTATTCCTTCTTCTTCTTCCAGTTTTTCCTTCTTATTCTTCGGGTTATTCATTTTCCTTCTTTCGGTCATTACTTTTTCTTCTTCCGGTTATTCTCTTTTCTTCTTCCGGTTATTCTTGTTTCTTCTTCCGGTTATTCTCTTTTCTTCTTCCGGTTATTCTTGTTTCTTCTTCCGGTTATTCTTTATTCTTCTTCCGGTTATTCTTTATTCTTCTTCCGGTTATTCTTGTTTCTTCTTCCGGTTATTCTTTATTCTTCTTCCGGTTATTCCTTATTCTTCTTTCTTTTTGTTTTTCATTCCGTCTTTATTTATTTATTAAATTATTTATTAAATTATTTTCTTTATCGTTTCTTTCTTTCTTTCTTTCTTTCTTACTTTCTTTCTTACTTTCTTTCTTACTTTCTGTCTTTCTTTTTTCTTTCTGTCTTTCTTTTTCTTTCTGTCTGTCTTCCTTTCTTTCCTACGTTACTAATTTCTTTCTTTCTTTTCTACTTTCGTTCTTATTTTCTTCCTTTCTTTCCATATGACTCTTTTTCTTTTTATCTTCCTTTCTTGATTTATTACGTTATTTTCCTTATCGTTTTTTATCTTTCGTTACGTCTTTCTTTTCTTCTTTCCTTCTGTCTTTCTTTCCGTCTTTATTACTGTCTTTTTTCCTTCTTTCTTTCTTTCTTTCTTTCTTTCTTTCTTTCCGACTGTCATTCCTTTTCTTTCTTTCTTTCTTTCTTTCCGACTGTCTTTCCTTTTCTTTCTTTCTTTCTTTCTTTCTTTCTTTCTTTCTTTCTTTCTTTCTTTCTACACTCTTTTCTTTCATATACCAATCTTCCTTATTTGGTCTTTATAATTCTTTACAGCTGCGTTCGTTCTTCAAATCATTTTCATTTTCTTCACCCCTCATATTTTGCCACTTTCCCTTTTCATATGTTCTTCGACTTCCTTTGATCTCCATCTTTAAAACCCACATCTACCAGCCATCCTATTTGTTTTCTTTCACTGTTTACTTCTAACTCCACCAGTTGATATTTTCTTTACTTTCCTTCAATCTGTCACTCCTTCCTTTCTCGTCTAAATTCCTTACGTCTTTTGATTACGTCGCATTTTTAGAGTCCTTCGCTCCACTAGGCGCAGCCCTCCACACTCGATACGACCAAAATGCAACTAGAGCAACACCTGAGCCCATCTCGGCCTACAAGCAACTAGATAATGCCTCTTGAATTTCAAAGAAATAAGCGTCAATCATAGAGCGGAGTTCCCCACTTTTTATCTCAGCGTTGCAGACAGAAGTCGTGTACGCACCAAGCAGAACTGACAGTTTTAGCAGCAAAAAATAAGTCGGCTGCTTATGAGCCAAATAGTAAATTGATGACTATATGTGTTCATCTATGCTATCTTGACAAGAAGAAAAGATTAAATCACGTTAATATTCTCGGCGTATTTCTACGTGATCTTACGAGACACTATAGTAATTTACGTCCGCCATTTTATTGTTTGTTTTGCTAGGTTGAGTTATAAACAATTTCAGCTTTTGTTAATCATTTTTATTCTTCCAGAAACAAAGTACAATTGCATTTTATTTTATTATATATTCACCATTATTTGCTACGATTCGTTGCAACTTATCAAGCAGTTGTTCGGTAACTTTTGAGTAAAATTCTGAAGGTTTTTATCGTTTGATGCAAGGTCAGGTGAATATTGCTGTTGGGGATAGAATAAACGAACCGAGTTCCAAAATTACAATAGAATCCCTCATATCCGGAATCTATAATATCCGGAAACCCTCATATCCGGAAACCCTAATATCCGGAGTGTCTCATATCCGGAATCCCGCATGGTTGTAATGTATATACTTGAACTATTTAAATCTGTATTATCTAAAACAAGGTTCGGCAACAACCGCCCGCCCAGACCACATCCAGCCCGCGATGGATTTTTTCCCGTCCGCCAACTTAACACCTGGACACTAATTATCTAATTAATTTGGGGAGTATGTGACAGAAAAAAAATATCAGTTGGTATTCATTTATTTCAGTGCGACGAATTTTTTAAATCAAAATTTCCGAAAGAACTACTGACTTCTACTAGAAATATGTTTTGTCCAACGGAAAGTAGAAAAGACTTTTGAATATGATGAAAATGATGGTATCATTATTTGGAAGTGCATATACTTCTGAATATGGAAGTATAGTGTTTGGACGATAAGACTTGAAATTGAACCTAAAATATAGTCATAAGTATTTTAGCGGAACCAATTATAATGGCGAATATTCCGTTCTAAGTACTAAGCATACGTGGACATGAAAAATAATAGTGAATATTTCATCCTAATTACTAAGCATACGTGGCCATGAAAAATAATGGCGAATATTTCATCCTAATTAAAATAATGGCAATATCCTGCCCATGAAAAAATAATGGCGAATATTTCATCCTTATTACTAAGCATACGTGCCCATGAAAATAATGGCGAATATTTCATCCTAATTACTAAATATTTCATAATTACTAAACATACGTGGCCATGAAAATAATGGCGAATTTCATTTCATCCTTATTACTAATGGCGAATATTTCATACGTGCCCATGAAAAATAATGGCGAATATTTCATCCTAATTACTAAGCATACGTGGCCATGAAAAATAATGGCGAATATTTCATCCTTATTACTAAGCATACGTGGCCATGAAAAATAATGGCGAATATTTCATCCTAATTACTAAGCATACGTGGCCATGAAAAATAATGGCGAATATTTTATCCTAATTACTAAGCATACGTGGCCATGAAAAATAATGGCGAATATTTCATCCTAATTAATAAGCATACGTGGTCATGAAAAATAATAGTGAATATTTCATCCTTATTATTAAGCATACGTAGCCATGTAAAATAAAATTGGAGTATATGAACATAACTTACTTGTTTGAATGGCAATAGCAGCGTATAAATCTCGGTTTGTTTTTATTTGTTTGGTTTGTTTTATGGTATATCAACTCCTCATGAGTCATTTAATGCCGAAATTTAATTTTCATGCGAGTATTATTATTATTATTTTTACAAAAAATGTATTGCTGCTAGTTTTACTACAAAAATGTTTATGCTTTCATAGTCTTTTGACCACTCTTTAGGAATTAAATATCTGCCCGTAGCTAACTGGTGATGCCACCCTGAGTCAAGTTGAACCTGGCAACTGAGAGATGGTTTCACACTCCTGAAAATCACTCTATCACAGGCCTTGCTGCCGGGTGAATTTTATCGTCATACTCAGGATGATACACGATTCGCTGACGGGATAAAATGAGTACTACGTCAAATAATTTTAGAAGAGTTCAATGAATGAAATAATGCTATGGCACCTACTAGAAAAAATATGCAATTTTATTGACATGAAATTATTATTGACCGAAAAGTAAGGAACTGGTTTCGTTCTGAAGAAACATCTTTGCAAGGTAAATTTAGACTGGTGCATTCATCGGACTCTCATGATGAAGCTTTAAATAATGGTTTAGTCACACAAGTTTTACTAATTAACTCATAGCTGGGGGAGAAGAGGTAGATTAATACCTATCCCAAGGGTAGGCGCTCTGAATAACAATTTCGAGCTATTGTCCATAATACCATCCACATATCCAAGTTTACAGCAACTGGTATTCCCAAGTGGTCACCCATCTAGGTACGGACAAGACTTGACGTTGCTTACCTTCGGTGATCGTAAAGGAACTGGTGTTTCAACTTCATATGGCCGTAAGCCGCTGGGTGTTTTGATTCCACACACCGGCAGAATCAGATATCCACAGCGAGAAGTCTCTTTTCTCAACAGAGAAATAATTCGTTCCCATAGTCACATATCATAGGTGCTGAAAATTGTGTTACGTACGACAATATACAACTGAACAAGCAGTGGATTGGAATACAGCAAGAGTAACGAAGGAAATACAGTAGAACATCTGACAACCAGACATAAGATCTCCGGATATGAGGGATTATATTTAGATTAAAATAAAAGAACTGAAATCAGGTTTAACAATTACTTTCAATGTTTTAGAGTAAACAAAATAAGCTAATGGTGAATGAAATATAACGGAATTGATTTTAAGGAAAAAGAAATAAATTATGTAATATTAATGAAAATTCATTAAATTAAATATGTCACGTATTCAAGACAAATAATGTAACGAAGATTTTTTAATCGCTGTTGCATGATGATTCTTTCTCTTTTAATATCGTTCTCAACTTTTTCCGCATTTCGTTTTGCTTTTGTTTTTGAAATTTTTTACACGAAATACACTTTTTAACTCTTCGTACATTATTGCAATCTTTGTTGATGAATGCTGGCTTTCTTTCCATAAAACTGACAACCATTTCAATAGCTTTTTCAATTTCAGTTCAGGTTTCATCAAATTCATGTTTTTTATTTCCTTCTTCATTGTGTCAGTGTGAACGCTGGAGAATAGTTTCTTTGAAAGATTTTATATCATACAATTTTGACTTTCCTATGTTGAACTCGGCCATTAGTTACAATGAAATTTCACCAGCGTTTAGTCTGTTTAAAATTTCTACTTTTTGCAAGATCTCCAAAGTTGTTCTTTTCCTCGCTTTCCCATCATCTTTTGCTTCTGGATATGAGGCACTCCGGATATGAAGAATTCCGGACATGAGGGATTCTGGATATGAAAAATTCTACTGTGATTTGAACGGACTAAAGCTATTAGTTTTACTTACGACACTGAGCATGTAACATTAATTTCGTTTTATTAGCCCTTTCCATTTATCAGTGTAATTTTAACATAAGGAGTGCCAACTTGCGCAAATATCTGAAATGATGTGTAGCAAAAAAGAAAAGCAGAAGAAACACTGCATTTGCAATTTCAGTCCAGGTTTCATACATACAGAACCGTCATATAGCCTGACGTGCTTAACCGATTGGGCCTCGATTTTATCTGTTTTTAAACATAATTCTCCATAAATTTCTCTCATTCATTCATATGTGCTCAATGCGTATCCAAATGTAAACAAATAACGTCATACATTATGAAATGGGCTAAGTCCGACAATTATTTAAAAAAAATAATTGTCGGACTCTGTCCATTTCATAATGTATAATCAATCATCCAAAGTAAATTTCCTGAGAAACAGATATTTCAAATCAGTTACTTTAAGAAGTCAGAAAATGGTGATTGACGTTGTATGGAAATGTTTTAAGATTGCAGTTATCAGGGAAGGAGGTAAGAGGAAGGGAGTTGCAATGTCGGGAAGTGCAAGAAAAGCATTTGTTGGAGTAGAAGTGGCAGTTGCATTTAGCTATTTCAACAATAAAATAGTGGGACCTTGATGCACTCGTAGACGAGGCACCAGGAGGAAAAGATCGTCATAGCAATTGCCATGAAAATATTTGTAGAAAAGACAGAAGGAAGTCATGGCACGTGGATGAGACAGTGACTGTAGTCGAGATACCTAGTCAGGATCGATTACTTCAAATACAAAAAAAATGACAAACGGGAAAAGAATGCGCAATCTTTCTTTGGAAATCATGGCAATTTTCAGATAATGAAAAAACAGAAGATGTGGAGAGACATGATTGCCCTGGGTCGTAACCACTCTGCTGTCTAAGATCGAATCCTGATAGTATTTCTTCTACAAAAATAAATAAATAAATAAATAAAAGTTTCATATTGAATTGTAAGATTTAAATTAACATATTTTAAATGTATTTACAAAAAGTCATCTGATACCCAATTTCGTTTTTTTTATATTATGAAATTTTATCGAGGCAAAAAAGTTTCTTTAACGTTGAATGAATATTATTTGAAAATAAATGTTAATACAAAACAATATATATATATATATATATATATATATATATATGCATATCATATCAATATACATATATATATTATATATATATATGCATATCCTATAAATATACATATATATATATATATATATATATATATATATATATATATATATATATATATATATATATATATATATATATATATATATATATATATATATATATATATATATATATATATATATATATATATATATAAGAAAAAAATATACTGAAAAAAAAAAAAAATCCTAATATGCGATTATGCTGTTTTAATGTTTAATGTCAAGGTCAGACGTTTCGGTCTAATAGACCATCTTCAGAACATATTCATAAAACATAATTAACATAGACCATATACAATTCAACATGAAAAAGACGATGGACATAAAAGCAATACCAATCCAAACAGATAACTGAAATCTTTTATAAGATCAGCGTTCCGTTTAAATATGATCACGTCGTCGTCACATGGACGATGTTGTGATTACTCGACAAACGTATATATAAGTTTTAGATCAAAATAAAATTTTTTTCGTTTTTCATTCAAAATACTCAAATTTTAGGAATACATAGTCCGAATAATGTAAATAGTGTACATAATACCTCATCTCAGAAATATAGACAGATACTGAAGGGCCGAAACGTTGTAATAAATATGGCGACAAAGATGAGGACAATAGTCCGAATAATGTAAATAGTGTACATAACACACCTCGTTCATCATACCAATTTTAACAGCAACAATCTACATTATAACCATAACTACTTCGTCAACGGTCAATCGTTATCTCTCCATCCTATCATCATAATATTCAGTTCTTAAAACCTCCTATCTATTTGCCATATTCACCAAAAGGAAAGATGTGGCACAAGGCCATCGTTATCTATCCTTCTATCGTCATCACCTTTATTATCTGTTTCATTCATATTTCACACTACATTCATCATAGCCATTTTAACAGTAACCATCTACAGTATACTTAACTTCTTCAAGTCAAAGGTCAATTGTTATCTATCCACCCTATCCTCATAATACTCACTTCCTGTCATCTCTTCTTTCATTGTTATCACACAACTCATTCATTATAAACATTTTAATAGCCACCCTCTACGCTATAATCTTAACTTCTTCGAATCAAGGGTGAGTCGTTATCTATCCTTCCTATCCGCATAATCTTCACTTCTTACAACCTCCTCTATACTTACACATCTCCCCACAAGGCAAGATGTGGTATAAGGCCATCATTATCTATCCTCCCTATCCTCATCACATTCACTACTTATCGCCTCCTCGTTCACTGATGTCACACACCTCATTAATCATAGTCATTTTAACAGTAATCATCTACGCTATAATCTTAACTTCTTCAAGTCAAGGGTTAATCCTTATCTATCCTCCCCATCCTCATAATCTTCATTTCTTATCATCTCATCTTTCATTCATATCAAACACCTCATTCATCATAAAAATAATCCTCTACGCTAAAAATAATGGAGAATTGTGTTTAAATACAGTAAAATCGACCTTGCTAACCGAACGCCCCTCTGTAGCTCAATCGGTAAATGCACGTCAGGCTAAATGACGGTTCAGTATAGGATACAGGTTCGATTCCTGTCTGAGGACGAATATTTTCTATGAAAATTTCTCGGAGATTCAGGCCGTTAAATGTTGTTAATACTGTTTATTATAAACAGAGTATTTACTTAAATATTTGTATCTATAAAAAGAACGTATAAACATAAAAATGTCTTAAAATATCCCGATAATCTTCACTTCCTATCATCTCCTCTTTCATTCATATCTCACATCTCATTTATAATAACCATTTTAACAGTAATCCTCTGACTTCAATGGCTCTTGATTCTTGTATTGCTGAACTTTAATATAAAGGAAGAGGGACGGGGAGCCTATATGTTGCAAAGTAGATAACGAAGAAATAAAACCATGTATGTCAATCTGAATAATTCATAAAATAGTAACATATCCAGAAACAGAGGCAAAGTTAGAATAGTGGTACGAGGCCCGAGCTGAATGTTCGCTAAACAAAGTAAAGATACCAAATTTTAACAAAAATTTACTTCGAGTATCAAGTTTTGTCCATCAGACGGTTAGACACTCGCCCGTATTCATCAAACTCCGGGTACTTACACCTCCCTTCCTCCCACAGCGATCGGGAAGACTTTTCGATCACCGCAATCACTGTTCCAACCTTCATTCCCGCCTCTGAATCAATAACAGCAGAATAATTGCGTCGGTTGAACGTATCATTAGGACTGTGTTGAGAGCTGGCGACGATGTCGCTATGTATTAATGAGGTGCCAACGACACGCCGTGTTTGAATCGACCGTCTTTGACAGGACGAAATCATTTAAACGGCCTGTATGAATCAAAATTTCTGAACAAATTTTGCCAGAACAACGTCTGCCTTCTCTAACTGGTAACAGTCAGAACGGGTCTAAGTGTGCCCCGGTCGACCAAAAGAAGAAGCAACATTGATGAGATTGTTTGAGCTGGAGAATATGGAATATGGATTGTAATTTTTTAGCTCAAGAATATAAAATAAGGCCTTTGCATTCATGTTCAACGATATTAAATATGTATCAGCATTGTTCGAATATGTTAATCTATTTCTCATATATATACCAGAAAAATTGACCAAATCGTTTTAACAGCATGGGATTATCGTCCATCCCACAAAATGTTTAATAAATAAAAAAAAAAAAAACAAACATTGAACTAATTGAGTTTCTTTTTCCAGGTTTTCAGAAAACACGTTTAGCCACCTTGACACCATTTATCGTACGAATCACTGAAAAACCATTTGAGTTATTTCGATAGAAAGAAAACAGGTTAAAATCGTTTTGTGTCAGCCCCACTGTTCCATTGAGGAATAGCGAGAGGAAAAGAT